GGGAGGGCCTATGAGCCATAAAAACCAGTTGGCCAATCAACACAGAGCAAGCCCTCCAAGCCTGGAGGCACACCAATCCTGAGCCTGTGTGTATCCCTAGACACTCCCCTTACGCTGCCCTACAAGATCTCTATGCAGCCGGTTCGAGCTGTCTTTTCTAGCCATCCGCCATGGTGGGTGGGTGAAAGACCCGAGCAAACATGGGGTTAGCTCGTTAAACAACTTTAATAAAGCCTCATGCAGTTTGCATCAAGCTTTCGAATCTGCCTGATGATTGGGGTGACCGCAGTCCTGGGCTGAGACCCCAGAGGCCTGAGCTTTCCGGGAGTCTTACACAACTACTTTTTCAAGATCCATTATCCCAGTAGAGCAAAGAAGGTTTCACCTCCAGATTCTGGATTCAACTATACCACACAAATGGAACTGAGAAAGATTCTCTAACTTCTCTCAGAAACATTGTAAGCCAGTCTCCATCATCTTCTCTTCCAAGGTCCTACAGAACAGTTCATTAGTACTCAATGGCTTTTCCAGTCCAAAGAAAGACCCAAAATTATCCACAGTCCTCCCCAAAATCAACATTGTCAGGTTCGGCACAGCAAAAATCCACTCCTAGTACCAATTTCTGATCCAGTGGTTTTCAGTAGCAGTCACTAACATTGTGACCAAAAGCAACTTGGGGAGTGTGCTGGAAAGTTTTATATCAGCCTGATACACAAACCAAAGTCATTTGGGAAAAGGAAACCTCAACTGATAACATGCCCCCACCAGATTTGCCTGTGGTCTATTTTCTTGACTGATGCTTGATGTAAGAGGATCCAAGCTCACTGTGGGCAGTCCCACCCTTGGACTGCTGGTCCTAAGTGCTGTAAGAAAGCAGCTGAGCAAGCCAGTAAGAATACTCCATGGTCTCTGGCTCAGTTCCTGCCTAGGTTCCTGCCTTGAGTTCCTGCTTGTGACTTCATTTGAAGATAGACTGTAATTTGGAAGTGTAAGTGAAAACATCCTTTCCTCTCCTAATTGTTTTTGGTCATGGTGATCACGGTAATAGAAACCCTGTCTAAGGGAAGAAAAAGTTTATCTGACTTACAGGTCACAGTCCATCACTGAGAGAAGCCACTCAAGGAACTCATCAGAACCTAGAGGCAGGAACTGAAGCAGAGCCATCTGAGAGTTGCCTCATTACTGACTTACTTCCTCCTATCTGTGCACAGTCAGCTTTCTTCAAATAACACTTTTTTTCCTGCCAGCTTTCTTATACAGCCCAGGGCTACCTACCTGCCTGGGGTAGTACTCCCCACAATGTGCTGGACCCACTTCATCCATTAGTGATGTAAAAAAATACACCCACATTCATGGCCACAAACCAAGCTGAAGGAATGGAGGCTGTTCTTCAACAGACGTTCCCTCTTCTCAGGTGTGTCAAGTTGACAACCAAGATTAACCCTCAAGACAGACAGAATACCAAGAAAACAGATACCTATCTGGACAGTCAGACAGATTTTTAGACAGATGAGAAGATAGACATTTATACAGATCAGTGGTCCCAGAGAAATAGAGCCACCCTTTTCCTTGCCGACCAAGATTAATTCCAGCTGAGCAGAAGACAAACATCTCCACCAAGTAATGCCCCAGTGGAGACCTACTTCACCCTCCCAGTCAGCATTCAGATGGGCAGACCTACGTACTAGCCAGACTTGAGCCTATGGGAAAACAACACCCCTTTTCTCCAGAAAAGACTGCACTAGGCCTCCCAGTTGGATTCTCATCCCCTGCTTGGACAGATCTTTAGCTACCAAAGCAGAGATTTCCCAGGCACTGGTCAGCGTTCCTGGCCCCTGTTTATTACCATAGCTGACCCACTGACCTCTCAATGTTGCCACTGCTCCTGGGTACCACCAGTATCTAATGACCACTGTCCACCAGTGATATCTACTGCTGTTCCATAGAGACCTTTCACAATCCCGTAGTGACACTCCTCCATTTGTTCTGGAATGACCTGGCTTAGAATGACTGTCATTAGTCATCTGGGAGACTCGGCTTCTGTGACTCTCCTATTTTCACTGAGGCCATAGACCTGTGTACTGCCTCCTTGAGTCGCCCAACCCAAATCCATCCTCCAGGCACCAGCAATCCCATTGGCATTTACTGGCCACCTTCTGCTTGCTTGGGAACCAATACTCCAAGTCTCTGTGGCCTCTCAGTTAATTCCTTGACCTGCACCCTGCCCAAGATGACACCAACTTCCCAATCACTATAGGTACCATTCACTGACCTCCAGTGAACCCACAATTACTGTCCATCCTCAGTCATCCCTGCTGACCCCCTTAGAATACACAAGTATGATCAGTGGCTCCCCAATAGCTCCCAGTAGTCTACATTCCCCCCTTTAAAGGCTTAAAACAATATTCCTCCATAGTTCCATATGCATGTAATGTACTTTGATCATATTCTTCTCATGTCCTTTATAATCCCCTTCCTACAGATCCCCTTCTTCTCAAGCCCCCTCCCACTTTCTTGTCTTTGGTGTGTGGGTACTGCACAGCAGTGAAGTGGGGGTGCCTGAATAGGCATGGGTAAGAGGGGTCATTCACTTGTGTGAGGGAAACTTACCAGTGGCTGCACCACTGAGGAATATGACCGTCCCCCGGCTTCCATACTGTTAACACCCATAGATTCTCAGAGAGGGATGAGGCCTCCTGTGCCCCTCTCATCCATGATGGTTCTTTGATGGGCACACCCAGAGTTATGGGTTCATGGGTGCAACTGCTGTGTCATATCCAGAGGACAGTGTTTCGTGGCACCCCTCATCTTCTGGCTCTTAGATTCTTTCTGCCCCCATCTCCACCCTGCAATGTTCCCTGGGCCTTGGAGAGGTGGCACAGATATCCCTTTTAGGGCTGAACACTCAACAGTCACTTACCCTCAGTATTTTAACCAGTCTGATTTTATTCTCATCTCACTATTTAAGCTAGGTCCAGCAAACCAGAGTCTGCAAACCACAAATTTTTAAAAAATTGTAATGAAATTCAAGGATTGGTATCAATGCAGTCTCTAAAACATTTAAAAAATTATTTGGCCAGGCAGTGGGGATGCACACCTTTAATCCCAGCATTCAGGGGGCAGAGGCAGTGGATCTCTGTGATTTCCAGGCCAGCCTGGTCTACACAGCAAGTTCCAGAACAACCAAGGTTACACAGAGAGACCCTCAAAAAATTTCATTTTATGTACATGAGTATTTTACTTACCTGTGTATCTGTGCCATGTGCATGCCTAGTGCTTGTGAAGGCCAGAAGGGGGCAATGGATCCCCCAGAACTGGAGTTTCTGATGGTTGTGAGCCAAAATGTGGGTGGTAGGAACTAAACTCAGGTCTTCTGGAAGAGCAGCCAGTGCTCTTAATGTTTCAGCCATTGCTCCGGCCCCTTTAAGTTTTTTAAATTACATTTATTTGTGTGTTTATGAACAGGCTGTGCATGTGGAGGTCAGAGGGCAACTCATGGGAAGTGGTTTTCCACCATGTGTGTCCCGGGAATGGAACTCATATTGACAGGCTTGGCAGCAAGGTCATTACCTGTTGAGCCATTTTACTGCTCTCTTCCCCTTTTCAATAAAAACACATTTTGTATACAGCCTCCCCTCCCACACCCCCCAAACACTATCTGGTTGTTTTGTGTTGGCAAAGTGAAATAGTAATGAAGCCCAAACAAGTTCTTGTCTGGCTTTTCAAGATGCTATCCATTCTTTCATTTGAACACTGTGATGACCATCAAATTGACAGCCTGTTACCAATGACCCCACTGCTCCTTCAGTACCTAAAGCACTTCCAGTCCTCAGCCCTACCCTTCCACACAGCAACCCCAAACTGATTTCGTTGGAGCTGCCCTCTTCAGTAGAGGGTTGGCAACCCTTGAATTCTTTGGTTACCCTGCAGGTGGTGCTAGTCCATTTACTGAAGCCTGTGTTTTGGCAGCCCCCCCTTTTTACTTTATTTTGTGTGTAGTGGGGATGTACCCTTACCAAAGAACCTGTATAGTTGTCAAAATTGACTTTCTGGAGTAAATTTTCTCCTTCCACCATATGGGTACTAGGTACCAAACTCAGGTCATCATGCATGGTGACAAGTGCCTTTACCCACTGAACTATCTCACCAATCCCCATCGTTAAAAAACAAAACAAAACAAACAAACACAAAAAAAGCCCACTCCTTTTCTCCCCTTATGACACAGGGTTTCGCGCATCACAACCTATCTTTGAGCTCATAGTGTAAGCGAGGGTGACCTTGAATTTCTGGTTCTCTTGCCTCCACCTTTTGGATTCTGGGACTTATGGGGTGCTGGAAACGAACCCCAGAGCTTCCTTCATGCTAGGCAGACACTCTACCAAGTCAGCTACAACCTTAGAGCGGCCCCCTTCCCAGGATCCCAGGAGCTTTAGCAGCTGTGGGTGTTGTCTTCTAGTGTTGAGATCTGTTTTTTCCGTGAACTCTTTTCCAGTTCTCTTCTTCCTAGAAGGGTGTGGGTTAAGAGCTTCATGTTGGGACTAGATCATGATGTCCCCGCTTTGCCAGCAGGTTCCATAGAGCGGAGGTTCAAAAAAAAAAAAAAAAAAAAAAAAAAAAAAAAAAAAAAACAGGCGCAGCTGTGGATGTTCGCGAGCTGCAGGCTGAGTGGCCTCACTACTCATTTGCACCAGTGAGGTGCTGGATTCACCTCACTACTTAGGAACCTGGCCTGCGACTTTAAGAGCGCAGCCATCCACCGGGAAAGGGGCGTGGAGGTGAGCCCGATCTAGGAACTGGTTCAAGCGGGTCCGAGCGTTCCGGGAGGACTCCACCGCTCCTGCATAGCAGTCTAGGCACCTGAGGCGCCATCGGGGAATTGCGGGTGGGACAGCCGCAGGACTTCCACTTCTACACCAGCCTCCGCCCGAGCCTGTGGGCATGGCAAAGCAGAATGAATTCCTAATGCGATTGGCTGGGGGGCGTGCCCCCCCCGCCAATACCAGTCTTCATTGGCTGCTGGAACCGAGGCCCCGTCCCGCACTGTCTAAACTCTTGGGGGGTCCGACAGCCGCGTGCACAGACCTCGCAGGCGGGTCGCAGCATGAGTCGCCACTTGGACCTGGTGCGGAGTTTCCTGGAGCAGCTGGAGGCCCGGGACCTCCGGGAGGAAGCAATCCTTGCCCGCGAGTTCAGCGTGAGTGACACTCCAGAGATCAAGCTTCGCAGCCAGGCTGTCCCCACCGCTGTCCACCTGTGCAATGTGAAAGCTCTGCCTGTTTCTCTCGGTTCCCGGGACGTCTCCTGCCTCCGGTTCTCTGGTTTCCTCTCCCAGCACCTCTGTCGCGCTCTCACACTCTCTCTGCCTTTCTCTCTCTGCCCTCAGGTGCCCCGAGGGTGAAGTACACGGCTGCCTGGGAGGCATGGGACACACTCAGGCGTCTGTGTAGCGCTCCCGGAGCGACCCTTCTCCCTAGCAGAGCGGTGGCTGCTGCTGGGAAGGGAGGCAGCACACCTGCGCTGGACTCCAGTCCCCCACCCGGGCCACTCCTGGGTCACCTTGTAATCCCTGGGAGGAAGTGGTTTGGGGCAGCAGAAAGAGGAACAGGGAAGCTTTGTCGTTTAGCCTTTGAACTCCGGAGTTTCCAGTTTCAAGTCTATGCCCAGGGCCTTTTAGAACTGTGACCATGGGAAGTCTGGTCTCAAGTTCCAACTGTTTTGAAAATATGAATGTTAAAAGCCAAGTTGGTCTAAGAAATTAGCACATACTGGGTACTCACTGGTTAGGTGCCTTTAACACGGCTTACAAAAACTGCATCAGGCATTGCCAATCAAACCCGTGAGAGGGACTACCACTCAGTAGGCATGGCATACAATAGGTAATGAAGAATTTTAAATGTGGTGGCATACAATAAACAATGAAGAATTTTAAATGTGGTGACATGATCCAAATATGTAAACATGCTGTATCATACTTAGAAATATGCAGTATAAATATATAAAAACAAATGCGACATTAAATGACCACTTACAGCCTAGCATGGTGGCACATGCCTATAATTCCAGCAATTGGTAGCCTAAAGCAGGAGGATCACAGTGTGTTCGAGGCCAGCCTGAGCTACATAATTTGAGGCCACTCTGAAATACAGTGTGAGATTGTCTCAAAGAAAGAAAAAGATAGTTTACACAAAGACCATTATGTAACCCGATGACAATATAACACTGTGGTAGCCCACACATTTAATCCCAGTACTCAAGAGGCAGGGGCAGGCAGTTCTTTGTAAATTTGAGGTCAGCCTGGTTTACTTGGATTGCTCCAGGATAGCCAGGGCTATATTAAAAACCTTGTCTCAAAAAGCCAAAAAGCAAACAAACAAACAAAAAACAAAAAACAAAAAACAAAACAAACAAAAAACAAACCAAATAAACCAATGACAATACCATAATAATACAACAAACATCAATAACCGAACTTATTAAGTTTGCAAGTAAAATACAGAACAAAAAATATAAATTGAATGTGAATCTAAATAATTTACACATGTAAATATTATAACATAAGAAATATGTATTACATATATATACATATATATATATATATATATATATATATATAT